TCGTTTCTTGTGTTTGGACTAACACCTATTCCAAACACAATATAACACATAACATGGCATGCACAATGCTATGTAACATGGAGCATGCAAAAATGCAATGCAACACAAGCATGCAAATATGCAATATGACTTAAGCATGCAAACATGCAATGCAACATGAACAACCTAACAAGGCTAATGGCATGGATACACAATGCAATGTAATGTAAGCATACACAATGCAAAGAACATGGCATATACAATGCGATGAATCAACATGCAAACAACATGGAATACTCAATGCGATGAACTACATGGCATACACAATGCTAAATGGACTTAAATCAAAAGTGGACAAACCTCAGTCATGCCCAAATCATTGGCCATAACATCAAAATAAAGGCACAAAAGGCAAGGCATGCATGCACAATGCATTGGCCATTCAAGTAGGCCTAAGTGCACAACTCTCAAGAGTGCTCAAGGAGTGATAAACATGGAAATGTGACAACACTAAATGCACTGAAATAAGTTATGAAATGATGCCAAATCATTCAAACAAAGCAAGCATAGCATACAAAGGTCCTTAAAGCATAAAGCTAGTAAAGAGGACTACAAAGGGGGGGCATGCAATACATGGCATAAGTGCATGAAACAACCATGGACAGCGCTTAATTAGGTCAAAACAAAGACCAAAACATGCTAAGATGGAGGCTCAAATACCTAGGCAAGATGGTATACATGCTAGGCCACAAACTAGGCAACAACGCACAACACTCAAAGGCACTTAAAGAATGAATGAAGTGGGAACATGGCAATGCTAAATACTCTAAAGTAACATGTTAAGTGATGCCAAATCATGTACACAACACAAATGAAGCATGTTATGGTGCCCAAAGCTTGAAGCTAGCATAGACACTTGTACTACAACTATGCAAAATATGAAGCATGTGATCAAGGCAACCCAAAAAAGTCCTAGAACATGTTAAAATAAGTCTAAAACATGCATTGAAGGAAGCCAAAACAAGCTAGCATAAAAGGCATAAGGCATAATGCATACGAGGCAAATAAGGTGGATTACACTATACTTATTAAGACCATGCATGAGATGACTTAACCAATAAAAATTAGAGTTATATCATGCCAAGATAACCCCAAAAACACATTGAAATGATGGCTCGCAAGCTTAGGCATGAAGGCATACGCAATGGTTCATGTTAAGGCATAAAGGGGGGAACCCTCCAACGCATTGAGTGAGTGACAAATGCAAGTGGATGAACATGAAAAATGGACTGAAATCACATTACAAATGATGCCAAATCATTCAAATAGTCTAAGTAATGCATACTAGTGGACTTGATGCACAAAGCTAACAAGCTAGAATGCATTATAGCTATACAAAGCAAATCATGCATGGCCAAAACAACACAAATCAGAGCTAAATCCTGTTAAAACATGGACAAAAGCTTCTTGAAGTTAAGCCAAAAGCATGCTAGAACGACATGTTAAAGCATGATGCATGTTAGGCTATTTCATGGAATTGCACTACAAGTGCATAGAGTATGCAATGGGTGACCAAACCAAACCCTAACAGAGGTATGACATGGCAAAACATCACTAAAAACATGCTGAAATGGACACAAAACAAGCTAGAATGACATGCTACTTCATGAAGCATACAAGACTAGTTTGTGTGATTTACACTACAAGTGTATAAGGCATGCATGGAGTGACAAGACCAAGTAAAAAAAGTGGTATGCCACAGAAAAATAAGCCCAAATATAAGCTAAGATATGGCCAACATAAGCTTAACAAACATGCTCACACATGAGGCATTCAAAGCAAGTATTGAAGACACAAGAAGAGGGGATGACCCTCTCCTATTTTGGACCCCAAAACCACCTTTCCACCATTGAAAATCCTCTGGATTTTAGTGGTAGAAAGGTCAAAACAAGGTGGTCCCAAAAGCTCACAAAGAAGGCACAAAAGCAAGGCCAAACAAAGCCTAAGAGAGGGTAGACAACTCCCAACACAAAAGTGACCTTAAACAAAGATCTTAAGCATGCAAAAATAAAAAATTTTGTAGTTAAGAGTTAAGCTTAAATCAGCATGAAAAAGGGTCCAAAAGCTTAAGCAAGAATAGGGGTTTAAGGAGTTAAAGGCTCACCCTTGAAGAACACTTTTGAAGCTATAACTCCAGCAAGTTTTTCCAGCTCAAACCAAACCAAAAACCTCAAAACCAGCTCCTAAGCACCTCAGCAACAAAAGGATGGTGTTTGAGTGTGTGTTTGTGTACAAAAGTGTGATAAAATGACACTTTTAAGGCACAAAATGAAAGAGATGGAGGATTATAGAGACAAGAGTGTATCTATCTCTCAAACCACTTAAAACTAAATCTGGAGGAGGGAGGGGGAGCCTCCCTCTTATAGAGAAGCAAGGCTCAAGCTTCTTGAAGAAGCTAAAGGTTCAAGGCCATCCCTCCATACGTGTATGGAGGATGGTTTCAGTGCCTTCCAGCTGTGCCAGCTGGAAGAAAATATCTCAAAAAATGTGACAAAAAGCAGCCGACTACTTGAAGTGGTCGGTTAGCTACTTTAAGTGGTCGGCCAACCACTATAAGTGGTCTCCCAAAAATAAAAGTGGTCGACCATGGTGAGAGAAGGTCAACAGCATGAAAACAAGAAAATGGTGTGGTGGCCGACCCCTTTAGATGGTCCAAAGACCAGGGAGACCAGTTGTCAGACCAGTTGTCAGACCAGAAAACTGGCTGGTAGGAAGGAAAGTGGTTTGCGATGAGAGAAATTGGTCTCCCACCCTTGTACCATCTTCCAAAACAAGGAAAACAAGGTTTGTACCAAAAATAAACCAAAACGAATGCAAGACGAAAGTTCGGGAGGCAAGGCACGCGGCCGAAAGCCTCGAAAACTAGTCTACGGGCATCAAAAGTGGTCTCCCGGACCACAGTGTCCCTCTAGGCAGAGGCAACAAGGTGTGATTCAAAAACCATGCCAAACGGAGAACATTAAGCGGTCCCGAGACAAGGCGCGCGGCCCAAGGCTCCAAAAATCGAAAATCGAAAACTAGTCTCCAAACACAAAAAGTGGTCTACGACCACAAAATGATGGTCCACAGACCTCTCCCTCCCTCCAGGGAAGAGAAACAAGGTTCGGTCCACAAACCGAGCCAAAGCAGAAAGAGTTCAGAGGCCCGGAGGCGAGGCTCTCAGCTAAAACTCCAGAAACTCGAAACGAGCACAACATGCATTATCACCGAGCGCTCAATCGATGACGTCTGAGTCTTAAGGTCAGTCAAAAATTGGGTGTCTACAACATGGTGAAAGGGTTAACAAAAAAGAAAATTTCGCGACATGGTGAAAAAAAAAGAAGACAGAAGCAGAATAAAATTACAAAAATTTTAATGTAATTCATGTTGGCAAAAAATAGAAACAGACCCTCAGTTACAAACAATTGAGAAGGCCAAAAAAAATAATAATAATTCATGTTGGCAAAAATAAAATTAATTTATGGCATTATATACAATCCCCAAAAAAATTAATTTTGGCAAAAAATTAATTCCCATTCAATGTTGTTCCTTAATGTTCAAAGAGTTAATTTTTAAATCCCAAATAAGGTTTTCAAATTAAATATAAATTTGTCAAATGGTACATCTCCTTCATCAAATGTGCAAGATAGAAACAGGAATTATACCAATTTCACAAAAAAAAAAAACAAAAATGAAAACAAAAACATGAACCTCAGCACATCATAATTTGTGAAGCACAAAAACAAAAACAAAAAAAAAATTGACAGAACCTGATGAAGCACAAAAAATGGACCAGTGGAACAAATAATTATCAGATCTTTAGTTTCACAAACACAAAAAAAAAAAAAAAAAAAAAAAAAAAAAAAAAAAGGAAACAAAACATGAACCTCACATTCGTCTTTGGCAACAATGGCTTTCACAGATGATGGTTGAAAGAGACGGATTTACGTACAAAAAAAAAAACCAACAAAAAAATAGAAAACAACCAATACCTAACGGCGATTCGGCTTTGGCCACAATGATGTCTTCTTTGACGCCGCAGATGTGCACCTGGGTGGCGTTCAGCTTTGGCAAGCTCTGTTCGTCTTCTGTAACGCCGATGATGTGTACTACAGTCCTGATCGACTTTGGCAAGCTTCGCGAGATGCCTTTCAGTCTCAGCGTTGGCGATTTGCCTTTCACCGTCAACGATTTGCCTTTTTGGATTCAGCATGTGGTGTGCCCTACAGTGTTGTGTGTGTGGTGAGGCAGTGCTGGTGTGTATTAGAGTGGTTTTTGTGTAAGTCCGTGAAGCTCATTTGAACGGTAGTGGCTAAATTAGCCTTTTTTTGGACGGTAATAGCTAATTTAGCCCAAAACTGTTTTCCCAAACGGCACCCTAATAATCTTTTCCATCACTGATCTGTTATCCTGGACTGTTATTGTCTTTTGACTTGCATAATTAGGACTTTTACAAAGTCCAAAGATGATGGCATGTGGGTGGTGGTGAGACGTTTGGTAGTGATCACTATTTGAATTCGTTGATATATAACTATTTGAATGGTCCAATGGAGTGGTTGGACACCAAAAAGCATAACATTAATTAAAATATAAAAGGAAAAAGATAAATGTAAACTTAGGCTCCGTTTGGAAAGATGGATTTGGGGTAGGGCTGGGTATAGGGTTATCTAACCCGCATAACTCGTCCTACCCGACCCTACATGTACATGTATGGGCGGTTTCGCAAATGCAATAGGACAAGGTGTGGTTTGAAATATTTCAAATTTTCGAGTTGCAGGTGGGTTACGGGTTTGACCCGCGCTTGCCACAACCGCCCGCACTTCTTTTTTTTTGAAAAAAGCTGGACCGTTCATATTCCATCATGCATAGATATTTTTTGCCCCAAACAAAACCAATTGAGAACAAAACAAAACCCTAATCTCACTCTCTTATCTTACTGAGAGCACTGAGAGAGAGCCCTTTTCATCTTCTCATCTCATCTCACTCTTTCTCTCTCTCTCTTGTTTTTCATCTGCGACGATCGACCTTCGCAATCGACTCTCTCTCTCCGACAACTCTGAGGTAAGGCTCTCTGTGTCTCGCTCTCTCTCCCCGATCTGTGATTTGTTTTGTATCTCTGTCTCTGTCTCACCCTCTCTCATTTTTCAGCTGCACAACTCGCACCGATCGACCTTCATCTACTCATCTCTCTCTCATTTTTCATTTGCGCAGCTCGCACGTGACGATCAACCTTCGCAATCGACTCTCTCTCTTCGGCAACTCCGAGGTAAGGCTCTCTCTGTCTTCGCAATCGACCTTCGCAATCGATTTGTTTGTGTTTTTGTTTTTGAGTGCAAGTCTGGGTCTATTAAAATAATAATAAATAAACAAGTCTTTGGTTTACAATTTCAAGTAAACATTAATTTGAGTGCCCGCATATACACTTTGCTATTATTGTTTCAAAATTTCGTTCATAGTCTGATCTGAAGTCTGATCTGTTGTTGTTTCAAAATTTTGTTTGATTAGGAGTTCTACAATTTGTTCATGAGAAGTTTATATTGTGTTTGAATTTCATTTCTTAAAAAAATAAATAATAAAATTGTTGGGGGAAATAAAAAGTGAAAACAAATTTACTTCACAAAGTGTACAAAGAATTTGGATCTTAAGTTTTTTTCCATTTAAAAAATAAAATTTGATTTGTTAACAATTTGTAGAGTGTGTTTCACGCTGACTTTTCCCGTTGTACGCAAAAGCTAATGAGTTCAAAATCTTATGAATCTCAAAGAAGTCATATGATATTGCCAAAGTGGGATTAATAGTCCTAAACCAAATGTCAAAACAAACATAGGATGGTTGGGCCCACGGATTAATAATCCTAATCCCATACTTTAATCCTTCCAATCAAACATGCCCAAAGTGTACAAAGAATTTGGATCTTAAGTTTTTTTCGATTTAAAAAATAAAATTTGATTTGTTAACAATTCGTAGGGTGTGTTTCACGCTGACTTTTCCCGGTGTACGCAAAAGCTAATGAGTTCAAAATCTTATGAATCTCAAAGAAGTCATATGATATTGCCAAAGTGGATTGAATCTGGTGGGTGGGTGGGTTTGTCTGTTTGAATTTTAATTGAATTTTAGAAGTGGATATTGAATCTGAAATTTGCTATTCTGCTATCCTGCTATATTTAAATTGAATCTGAATTGAATTTTAGAAGTGGATATTGAATCTGAAATCTGCTGCTATTCTGTTATATTTAAATTGAATCTGAATTTTTTTTTGAAATTGAATCTGAATTTTTTTTTTTGAATTTGAATTGAATTTGCTATTATGTTGCTGCTATTCTATTATTTTTTAAATTGAGTTATGCTATTCTGTTACTCTGGGTGGGTGTTATTGAATCTGAATTGAAATTGAATCTAAATTTTTTTTTGGAAGTTAAATCTAATTTTTTTTTTTATAATCTGAATGAAATTGAATCTGATTTTTTTTTTTTATAATCTAAATTGAATCTGAATTTTTTTTAATCTGAATTGAATTTGTAGTACAGTTTGAATGGAGGATACTATTGAATCTCTCGCAATGAATCTTTTACCTCCGGAATCCTCTAATTCTCAAATGAATTCCCCCTTGGAACTTGGATGTGATTCATGATGACAGAGTTTGAGATAGTGTTGCTTGGATGAATGTTTTTATTTTATTGAACAACAATTTTATTTTATTTTGTTCTTGCATTTTGGATGAATGTAATAGTTAATGAAACAACAATTTTATTTTTATTTTTTTCATTTTATTATTACATTTTAGATGAACGTAATAGTTAATGAAGAATTACTTTTAGGTAAGCTTAGAAATTTGAATGATTTTATTTTAATTTTGTATTATTGGGTAGTAGTAGATGGAGAATGTTGAGAAAGTAGTTGTAGAATGAGATTGATGATTTAGTTAGGATTTTGAATGATTTTATTTTAATTGTATTGTTGGGTAGTAGATTAATTTTGAATGATTTTGAATGATTTTGAATGATTTGTTTGTGTTAGGAATTGATTTTGTTGTGTTTTTCATTTTATAAGTTTTAATTCATTAATCATTAATGTTCGAGCATTTTAGAAAATTGAAAGAAAATTACCCAAAATAAATATTTATAAAATGGAAAAAAAAAAACTCAAAAATTAATTTTTAAAGGAAAATATCCAAACCGCAAATCGCCCGCACATTCGTAAACCTTATTCGCACAAATAGCAAACCGCACTGCGAGCGGTTGCGGTTTGACTTTTTTTCAAACCGCATACATGCGGGTGGGTCAAAACTGAATCGCAACCCGCACAAAACCGATCCGCGAACACCCATAATTTGGGGCTTTTTTGGCTATTTTAGCCACAAAAGGAAAAATAGGCTATTTTAACAACAAAAAATAAAACATCACATCCAATCCATAATCATTACACTATTCTCTCACAAAAAAAAAAAGTTGAAAAAGTTAAAAAGTCAAAAAATCCTTCCCAAATTAAGCTTTTTAGACCAGGCTAAAATAGCAAAAAAAGTTAAAAAGCTAAAAAGTCAACCCACTTCCAAAACGAAGCCTTAATAAAGTAGGGTTTTTTTTTTTTTTTTTTTTAATAAAGTTACTAAAAATTAGTTCTTGGTTATTGAAAAAATTTAGGTGGAGGTCGATATTTTGTGTTTATCTTCAATGAACTTGTTCTGAATTTTTTCAAACAAATTATTCTTTTCAAATCTTTCTAAAAATAAAAATTTAGGGTTATTTGAGAAATTACACTAATCAAAAAAAAAATTAGAAATTATAGTTAAAAGGTTTAGTGAAATACATTTAAATATATTTTTTTTTGGTGTATAAGATGTCACCAAAGTGAAGCCAAGCATGTACTATCATGTTCAGAAGGATGTGCCCAAGGTGATATGCTCAATCAGAAAATGCAAATGCCAGTATGATATCATTTATAAATTAATTTTTATGATTATTATTGTTAATGTATATATGGTATATATTCTTACATATATTAGGTATTGATTTCCTAGATATATTAGGTATTGGCATAGTTAGATCTCTTATAGGATACTCTTTTTCATAGTTAGATTTCTAATAAGATACTCTTTCTCAGCCTATATATACAAACCTTCTATTGTATAGGATATTGATTCAATACAATTGATTCAATACAATACATATTATTTTTTTTCTCTCTCTCTCTCTCTACTATTCTAACATGGTATCAGAGCTATAGGTTAAGCTCTTGGTGTTCTTCGCCTTACCGGCAGGCGGTAGCCTTGCCTTGGCCGCCCGCCGGACCTCAACCTATTCCGCTATCATATTTTCCTGTCAATATCGCTTCATGGTCATCTCTTCATTTGTCTGCTGATTTATTCCTACCCTAAATATCTCTTTAAGGTTTTTTTTTTTTTTTTTTTTTTGTGCTTCTGCTCCACTCTGTTTTTCCCTCTGCTTCAATCTTAAATAAGTTTCTATCTTCAAACCTATTTGAATTTGAGGGGGGCATATTATACCTGTATCATGGTGAACATGGTTATACACCATGCAAACCACCTAAGTCGTCTCCTTTTGGCGACACTCTCTAAGCCGTCTCCTTGGCGCACAACCCAAGCCGCCTCCTTTGGCACATAATCCAAGTTGCCCTCTCTGGTGTACAACCCAAGCCGCCCCATTTGGCGCACAATCCAAGCCATCTCCTGGCGCACTCAATTATCTGTTGCCATCATCGTTCAACACCACGTTATAAGTTATGTGTGTGCCACGCTTGCTGGTTCAACATCCAGTTTTCTACATCGGTCTGGCACGACCCCTTTAAACTGTCCCGACATTGATTCCGATTAGCTCCTACATTGGTTCGGCACGACCCCTTCAAACTGTCCCGGCATTGATTCCGGTTAGCTCCTACATCGGTCCGGCATGACCCCTTCAAACTGTCCCAACATTGATTCCGATTAGATCCTACATCGGTTCGGCATGATCCCTTCAAACTATCCCGACATTAATTCTGGTTTGCTCCTACAATGGTCCAGCATGACCTTAATCTGATCTCGGCATTAGTTCTAGCCAATTTTTACAACGGTCCAGCATGACCTTAAATTGTCCTTTCATTAGATCTAGCCAATTTTTCCAACAGTCCGGCATGACCTTAAACTGTCCTGGCAGCCAATTCCTACAATGGTCCGACACGACCATAAACTATCTCTCGGTATTAGTTCCAGTCAGTTTCTATATCGGTTTGACATGATCATAAACTGTCTCACGGCTTTAGTTTCGGCCTCTGATCTATTTCAAGCGCCCTTGTGCTCACGTTCATATTTTGCAATATATTTGCCTTTTTATTTTTTTAGTTTTGTTTCATATTTTAGTTTCTCTCTCCAAACTCAAAATGTTTATTCTCCTTGAGTTTGAGAGAGGATGTTAATGCATATATGGCATTTATTCCTACATATATTTGGTATTAATTTCCCAGATATATTAGGTATTGTCATAATTAGATCTCTTATAGGATACTCTTTCTCATAGTTAGATTTCTAGTAGGATACTCTTTCTCAGCCTATATTTACAAGCCTTCTGTTGTATAGGATATTAATTCAATACAATACATATTATTTTCTCTCTCTCTCTACTATTCTAACAATTATTTTTTAGATTAATAGTTAAAAAAATGAAAATAAAAATGTAAATTTTTTTAATGTAAGTTTTGATTATGATAATTTGTATGAAAAAGAATTGAACCCATTTGATCAAATAAACTCTCACAATTTTATTTTATTTTATTTTAAATAAACTCTCACAATTTTATTTTATTTTATTTTATTTTTTTGTGTGCATTTCCTTAAAAGCTTTTGGGCAAATTACACTAACGGTATTTATAGTTTAGAACTTGTGTCACTTTAGTTTCTGACCTTTCAATCTTGATACATTTTACTCTGAATTTTAAATCTTATTCTAAAGAGTAATGTTAGGGATCATGAAAAAAATGTCATGAAGATAATCATGAAAGATTCTCCACCTTTGGATTACACATACAATAAAACACTACACACTAATCAAAGGATAAAAAATCTTCATAATGCATTTCATGATATTTTTTTCATCCTTTGATTAGTGTGTGGTGTTTTATTGTATGTGTAATCCAAAGGTGCAGAATCTTTCATGATTATCTTCATGACATTTTTTTCATGATCCCTAACATTACTCATAAGGACAATTGAAGATATCATTGCTCCATTTCAAGAGCAAAGTCGTTATTTTAATAAAATATAAACTAATTTGAAAAAAATAAATGTCAAAAAATTATTACTACCCACCAAAGATAAAATTATATAAAAATTATAAATCTTTTACATTTTTATTATTTATTTTTTTACCAGATTAATTTTTGGTATGCGTTTGAATGATAATCATGTAATGGGTTGTTGGTTGTTTTTGTTAATGTTTTTGGATGATTATCATGAAATAGATTATATTTTTTGTTAACAGATATTTTTTTATGGTTATCATGTAATGGAATTTTTAATGTGTAATCGATATATTTATATACGAAATATTTTTAGTTTTGGATTTTTTTGATTTAATGGATTGGTTTAATAGTAATATCAAAGTTGTTATCATATTTGACATTTGAAAAAATTGAAACTAATTTAATGAAAATAAATATAAATATAAAAAAATTTATTTCTACACTCCCAAAAGATAAAATTATATAAAAATGATATGTTTTTAATTTTTTTTCACAAATTTAATTTTTAGTTTCTTAAAAAAAAATCTGAAAATAGATTCTAAAAACTAAACCAAACCAAACAAAACTTTGTAACCAAGAAAGTTTTATGATTATTCATTAAAAAAAAGGCCATTACATTTCAAATAATATACAAGTTAACTAACACAAAATAAGTTGTATAATGACTTTGCCTTTGAAATTGACCGTTTGTAAAGAAAACATCTTTGATTGTAATAAGATTCAAAATTCATGGTTAAATGTATCACAATTGAAAAGTTACGAATTAAAGTGACACAAATTCCAAACTACAAAGACTGTTAGTGTAGTTTGCTCAAAATCTTTTTTACACCAGTAATTAAGAAAAAATGATGAGTCTCTTTTGTCTATACGGATATAAGGATTTCAAATAAATTAAAGTTACAAATTATAGCTTAAAAAAATCTCACATTTTTTGGTCACAGAAAATATAATTTAAAATAGAAACCAAATACCATTAATCAATTTTTTTTGAAAAAAAAAACTATTAGTTAAATAAATTAACTTATAAATACTACTAAACTGACCTGTTAGCTTCCAAACCTTGAAGGCTTTTCTTACTACAATTGTGAGATTATCAAGGAGCATGGTTTAATTGAACGATTCTACAAACTTGAACCATCAACACTGGCTTTGAAATCTAGTAGTCTTGGAATAATACTTTCTCACTATTTAGCAAGTGACAATTATTTTATTGTCTCTAAAAAATAAATATAAAATTAATTAATGGGAAAATTATCAGAAAGTCCTATTTACCAATCTATTACTCCATTTGGTCTCACATTTATTCTCTTGGATTGACAAGTCCTGTTTAGTATGTTTTGTGGACAACCAGGTCCCGTTTTAAATTTTATGATGTGTGTGTAGACGGGTTTGACCCTCTTTTGTTTTTCCTTTACAGATGTATATTGGGATTGAATGCAGATTTTGTGAGATACGTTTCTGATCCACGTTTGGTAATTCGGGTCCATGCTTTTGGGTTATGGAGTCACACAACACTGCGTGGACCAACAAATGTGAACCCAACAAATCAACAAGAGAAGGCGCCTCTCAAGCTAAAGATGATGATCAATAGGAGAGCTGTTCTGAGAGGGAATCCTATGGAGGGCCGAGAAGAAGAAGAAGAGGACACAATCAACGCACGGGACACCAGAGACCCTCCAAGTCCACAGACTCCCACTCTCTAAATACATCGATGCCCTCCGCTGGCGTCCACCT